TTAATGCTCAGTGGTAGAGCATTGCGTTAGCAGAGCAAAAGGTTGTGGGTTCGATTCCCAGGGAACACACATACTGGTAAAAAATGTATAGCCTGTAAGTCACTTTGGATAAAAGCGTCTGCTAAATACATAAATTAAAAAAAATTATATCTCTCTATATATATATATATATATATATATATATATATATTGTAGTATGCATATTTATTTGGAATGGAATACTGGTGTACTGTTCATTATTGGCATCTATGGTTCCATAAAGAACTCCATGTAATCTTTCCATTGCACAAAATGTTCTTTATAGTGGGGAAAAAAGTTTCTTTAGATTATTAAAATGTTCTTTACAAGGAAAAAGGTTATTTGGGGAACCCAAAATGGTTCTATGACATTGCTGCGAAACCCCCTTTTTGAACCTTTATTTTTAAGTGTGTATTGCCTGAATACTAATTTGAACAGAATAACAAGAAAACAAATAATGAATAATCACAAAATGTACATTACAAACAAAACAAAAATATTTTTAAACAATTGTGTTCTTTGTTGTTGTCACATGACCTCATTAAATATGTTGCATGTTTTATTCAATGAATAAAATCCACTTTTTATCTTAGCTATTTAGCATTTTCATCATATTTTGTGTAAAATACGTTTTATGATATATAAATAAAATAATGAGTAAAGAAAGATGTTAATAATCATGGGTGATATTCAATCGTCATTCATTCATCAGTTAATTTGTCAAACTGTAAGGTTGGTTGTATTGCATGATGGGATACATTTTGGCAAAAGTAATAGAAAATTTGACTGTAAACAGTATGCATACTGCAAAAATGTAATTAGTAGTTTGGTAGCAGTGTTTATTATTGTTAACTACAACTATTAAAAATAGGTCATTTAAATTAAAACATAAATATTAAATTAAAAAACTTAAAAATTGATTTTAAAAATTAAATTTAAAAAAAGATTTAATGAAAATTAGAAATGTTGCCTTCACTGTAAAATCCAATAGTTTACCTTACTTAGATTTAATTAGTCATCTTTACTTAGTTGTTATACTTACTAGGTTTTATTAAGTTACAGCTACTTTTAAGGCAAATAAAACAATTGACTTACTGTTTTGAGTGACACTTACTTCAAATATTCAAGTAGCCACAAAGGAACCAATGATATTAATAAAGCAGTGAGAGGCAGCAGTGCACTAATATGATGCTAATGTGCAACATAACAACAGAAGAAGAAGAAAAGAAAAAAGAGTCTTAATAAACTTTTCATCCATTTCCTCCATGTCTGCAGTTATCTTTCACTAGTTGCATTCACTCATTTCCCAAAGTCATCTTGAATGTTGAATTTTCAATACAACTGAAATATTTGAGAGAACATCATATAAGCTAACTTCATAAATTGATGTTGATTTTACTAAAATGTTTTTTTTTTTTAATTCACCATTATAGTGATTAGCGTTCCCTTTGGTTGGGCACTTGGACCTTCGTTTATATTACTATAATTTTTTTCCTTTTAATGCAGCAATGCATCATGAAGTCAGAGTTATTTGACTTCAAGGGAAGGAGAGTAATAAATAGGTTGCTTTTAGAGAGTGACATATCTTCTAATTAAAGCATTAGTGTGTTTTTTGTGGTTTTTTAATGAACTTTTTCAAGAGATGTTTTTCATAAATACCTTGAGATGCTTTTAATTGGGTATATATAATCCTTAAACAGTGTGTGGTAATATGCTGAAGTCACACACAGACTTAAACATTCAGCACGTGAATCACAACAATGGTAACAATTCAATTTA